CATCTTTCTTATATTTTGTTCCGGTCGAAGATATTTTTTAATGTTAGAAAATAAACGAGAGAACACGACAGCATGAAGAAAACTAAGGAGATGATCGATATCGGTAGAAAGAGTATGGACGAATGTACTTTCTCCCGCGGTTTTAGCAGTTCTTATTCCTGTTTCCAAAATTAAACTCTGTGCATCTGTTTCAGGCCTGTATCTCAGCGAACACTTATCCGTGTTACGATACAAGCGATCAAACGCATTAAGACGAATCATCGCGCACTTATCGACCGCTCAACTTGAGATCCAGATTTAGAGTCAACATACAAACGCACTCGAGAGTATATCCACTGTCTACAAGGATGAAATTCCGTGCGCACTCGAAGACGTACAATTTCTGAGTTCTATTTCAGCGCTATAAGTAGCTTCTATTTCTGTATTACACTGTTTATCGTTTGAGTTTCGTGAAAATAATCTTGCATTATTTTTTGATATTCACCTATTCGGATTAGTTATTAGAATAATCTTCGTTTCACACGCACAAGACATTTTCTTTGTGTATATATTACAATACAATTGATTTACTGTTATTACGTTTAACATTAAAATATGCGTCAGAATTATCCAAAAGACGATAAGCTCTATTGGAAAATTCGATTCTGCTGAAATATAGAAGAATATTCAACCAATTTCATCGCTGATAATGGCAAAAAGGAAAATAGAAACAGATTTGAGAAACGCCTTTAGAGACGTGTACGACGTACGTACGATATCTGACGTAATTTCTGAGTTCTAGAATTATTAAATTCCACTTTCGTTTATGTAAATACTTCGCATTGTGAAAGTTTCTGTATATCTACAGAGAAATAAGATGAACTTATGCCGCAATTTCACGAGAAGCGTTCCGGCAAGGATCATCAAATTCGGTATAATATTCCAGTGAAATTTTCCACCAGTATGATCATATCAATTCTCTTCGCACTCATCGTTGAACAATTCCATCAAAATATCGTTCTCTCTGTATAAGAGATATTTTTGTCCTCGGCGATTTTCTTCGTCTGACAAAGAACCAAGTATTATATCGTTTTCTATCTGAATTTGAAAGCGAAGTGCATAAATGCGAACGTTAATTAGCACCGTTAATCGATCCAGTTCCTAACGATTAATATCACGAAGTGAAAAAAGCATAATAGAACCGCGACGCACTCGCCATTTCTCCTCTACCTTGCACTAATGAATTATCGATCTGATTGTTACCGAAGAGGCGCCGATGTTAATTAGTTTTGGTGATTAATCGCGTCGCGGTCAATTTGTCGTTCGTTGGTTTCTTTGACAATCGTGTGCTCGAAATTCTATTGATCGAGAGTACGACAAGTTGGAAAACACGAGTGTTGGTAGATTTTGGAACTTTAGAATCATAAATCTTGAATTCTGGAGGTAGATAATATCATACAGAATTCTAAAATTCTCGAAGTTTACGGACGTACGTATGATATTCGGAACTCGAGAACTCGAATTTTAGAACCATAGAGTGCTCTGGACGGTCAAACTCGACAAGTTACTTTGGAATTGGGGAATTCGCACTTTGACACTCTAGAGTGCTTTGATCTCCCGAACTCGAAAGTTCTATCAAATAAAGAAATTCAGAACTTTAGAACTCGAGCTTCAAAATTCTCGAGCCCTACATTCTCGAATTCCAGAATCCAGCACTTTAGAACTCGAATAACAACGTTCTGTACCGTAAAGAGCCGGAACTTTGGAACATTGAAATCTTCTAAATTTGGAATGCGAAGAGTTTAAAAACCTGCAACTCTTCAATGTTGCAACATCAGAACTCTAAACATTGTCGCTTGGGAATATTAGAGCTCTAGACTTTGAGAACTCTAGCAACCAAGTCCCGATATCTCAGAAGTCGGGATCTCTAGGAATCCTAAAACGTCTAAACTCTAAAATTCGAGCGTTTTACAGCTTTATAATTGAACATTCTAAAGTCCGAGAATTTTCTGCGATTGAAAAATCCCGAGACTAGAAAAATATTAAACTCGACAATTATAAAGCTACGAAACTGCAGAACTCCAGAATTCTAGAGTAAACCATTTGAACTTTGGAATACGATGATTCTGGAACTCCAGATTAATTGGTCACTAACCCGCCGACTGTCACATGCATTATGCTCGGATTTATTGGTGCCGTAATAAATCACGGAATGGCGATAACTAGCATAGGCAGACCGACGCGTATCAATTAAGTATGTACGTGTGACACCATTTGTCTTCCCTAGCGGCATCGTGCCCGGTATGCAACGCATTGAATAACGTTCAGTCAGTGAACCGATTAGATTGATATCGATGCACACGATACTTACCATTTCCATGTATTATGCATGAAATTTCACCTCGCAAGAACGTCTTCTTTCATACAAAACGCCATACTTAAACCAACGTTTCCTAGAATAACACTCGAATGCTGAAATGTAGAACAGATTCGTTTCATTTATTTTTACGTCTGTCGTAAATACTTCACAAACATGTAAAACGGATGATACGATTGAAACGGAGGATATCCTTGCATTTCAAAATATTTCTAAAATCCAAATAAATTGTTGCAAAGTTTCGATAAAGTTCGAAGAAAAGGAAATTCATCGCGACTGCAAATTGTTCAAAGACTCGTGAAAAGTCGAATGTTGCTTCGTCGGCAGAAAATATTGTTCGTTCGTTCGAGTTGCATCTAAATCTCGTCGAATTAAAATATCGTTTTGCTTTGTAATCGGTCGACTTTTCGTATAAAAACACGGTTTATTCGTCGCAACAGACGACTCTGTTTCACAGTCTAATCAAAAGGTTAGGTCAACGCGGCGAGCTCGCGAGAGGAATTCCTCGAGAAGATATCGTATTATCTCGCGATCACGTTTTCGTTTTCTGCATTAATTAAAGTCGGAGAGCGCGTCTGAAGGATCCACGGCTGGTGACGCTAATTTATCTCGTCTTATTTGTATGTATACCATCGATTTATATGCAAAGATGTTTTCCGTCCTTTCAGGCCGTTCAACCTTCCGGCAATGGAAATTTCGCGTCACCATCTTCCTACAACGTTGAATACTCTTTAAGGTAATATGCAAGCTATGAATCTTCCTAGTATGAAATTTCATATTTTAAAATCACGAGACACCGAGATTGCAAAACATTCAGATGTAAATCGGTACTGGGTGGAGAAAGAATTCTAAAATTACGAAAATGTAAAATCGTTCTGACTCCGTAAAACCTTGAATTATTACATCAATTACAAACCATTTTTCAGTGAATAAACAAAAACGAGAAAATTGAACAAGAAATAAACTGTATAAGTAAATCCACGGTGGCAAAGTTAAGAAATCGCTAAATTTCCAAGGAAATATTATCCACTATTTAAACTGTCACAATTTCGTGATAAAGAAAATCATACAACGATCCTCGGGTACATTTTTCACAAAGACGCTTTTCTACATCGTGTAGCCGATCGGAAAGTGAAAATACTTGTCGAAAGTTGTACAAATCCAAACGTCTCCGCGGACATTGAAGAATATTCTTCATCAACGTGAGTTCGAAAATCGAAGCCACCCCCTTAGAACGACTTCGTCCAACTTGATGTACGATTTTCTGTCGTCGTTTTATTGGAATTTAAATGAAAAGTTTGCCACCGACAGACTATAATAATCCAAGATACGCCGTTATCTTTTTTTCACGAAATTGTAACGGTTTAGAAACCGACGATTTTTCATGGGAAATTTAGCGATCCTTTAATTTTGCACGTCAATGTGCATGGATAATAATCCAAAGGTACAAATTTGTGGCGACGAGTCGCAGAAATTGTTGGCCACAGCTTCGAAGCTTCGAATAACGATCTTAATTAACAGTTTCAGAAACAACGATAAAAAAAAAACATCTCTGGCAGCGACGAAATTTTCATACCGCGGAAATACCCATTTTTCGATTTACTCGCACGTAGGAACACGTCAGTTAGTATCGTGCCGATTGCCCTCCACATTATCTCGTTTTCGTTCCATTAGGCGGCAATGTTCGTTTTTCTCTCGCATTCGTACCGGCCATCGATTACACGTGAAATTTGCATCGGTTCGTTGCGAATATCCGCAACACGTGTGTAAACGTTCGCGTTATATGTTAAACACAGCTGGGGAAACTAAACAAACCGACAACATTTCGATATCAATTTAGTGACGTATGCGGAGTTTATTTAATCATCGAAAATTAACGTCCAGTCCGACCCAGTCGAATATTTTAAGCGATTCTATCTTTCGTCTCTTCTTACTGTTTCTTTTCTTTTTCTCTTTTTTTTCAGAATTCGCGATAACTCGACGAGATAAAATTGTTATGACGTTTGAGGTCTCAAACTGACGTTCAACGTTTCGGATTACCGTAAATATTATTCGTCATGCTTATGAAATAAGCTGACGTTTCTATTGCCAACATCGATCGTGCATTCGACTCGTCAAGAATTTCAAAAGGAACAATAAACAGGAAAAGAATAATATACGCGCTTGTGGCTTCGGGCCTTAAGAAATCTCGACGAGTGAATTGAAATTTCAAATCGAAGGAAAGATATACCCGATGAAAATAGACCTTTTTTGGTCGCTCAGGTTCAATGGACTGTGAAATTTATCGTAATTATGGAATTCTGATCGACGCCTACTCGATAACATTCAAATCAAATATCAGCTCTTCCGTGTTCTAGGAATTATGATGTTTACCTGGCCAAAGAAGTTCGGAGAAGAAGAAGGAAATGCCAAAGATCGCGCGTCAATATTCGTCTTTCGTTATTTCTAAATCATACTTTATAATCAGGCAAAAACAAAAAAAAAAAAAAAACAGAGAGAGAGAGACAAATCCAGATCGGACATCAAAGTTCACGATGTTTGTTTGTTTAAATCAAACGCTGTGACACCGTGACTTCGTGATAAACGAGAGTAGACATCGATCACAGAAAACTGACCAGCGTTACTGGACAAAGTTCAAGGTTTATCAGATTAGTCGCATTTTATTTCGACATTTCCATAACATTCCATTCAGATCAACTATTTTTTTTCCTTTGCATATTTATGTATTTTTATCTCAATTCTTTTCGAAGGAAGACTCGCTTTCTCTCGACAGTTTCTTTCTTGTTGACTGGAAAAGACGTGCTAACTCGTCGTTTAGATTGCGAATGTCTTGATTATGCGTTATATTGTATTTCACTGAAATTGAAATTAATTTGGTTTTCTGAATTTCTGATCCTCTATCCAACTATCTCCAAAAACTATATGATTAAAAGATTATAAAGAATTTTCGATTATTTATACCTTAAAATAACCACGACTGTGTTCTTCCCTGTTTTTCACATTCGTCAGGTTCTTCTGCAATTTTCACAGTGTATTTTTCATTCTTCTGCCTAAATCACGCTACTCGTTTGTTCTTCGAGATTCAAGGTCTGCCGGCATCTGCCTCAAATTAACATAAACGATCTTCTAATTGTTCAAGATCTATTTTACAACTTTTCCATGCAACGTTTCAGTATTCGAAGATTTCCATCCCCTTTCTTCCAAGGTAAAAGCGTGTACCTCCAAATTGAACATCCACGAGTGATCACCTTAAACTAAGTCAAACATTCTCAGACTTCTAGAGAATCCTCTAATTGTTTATATTCTTCCTGTGGAATCTTCTAATTGTTTACATTCTTCCTAGGGAATCACTATTCCATGTCTTAAACAAACAGATACTTATTCAAGAGAATCAGTGAATTGTTTAAACTCCTCTTTCGCTAAATTCTAGTCTTCACATCGAACAAAGTGAAACATTCTTCTTATTAATTCTAAGGAAAGAATCCAGTAACTGTTAATATATTAAAAGATGCGATTCCGATCCAAGAGAATCCTTGTACCATTCAAAATCCTGTATCAGATGCCAGACTGTACAAACAAACTCAAACACTCTCTTAGCAACGAAAAGAATCCACTTACTCCCCAGTATTTTAAGACGAAAGATTCTCAAATTATCCAAAGTTTGACTTGGTTGAAAAACCCACTTCGAACAAACTCAAACACTGTTTCCAAGAGTCCACTAACTGTTCAATATCCTTCGAAAAACGATTCTCACGCAAGGAAATGCTCGAACTGCCGGAAATTCCTCGTCGATAATCAAATTCCAGCGTCCACCTCAAACAATTTCAAACGTTCTCTTCACAAAGGCAAAACGTTCACCGACTGTTCAGTATCTTAAGAGAAATAAAATCCTCCAGCTGTCTGAAATTTTTCGTCGTCTGTCAAACTCCAATATTCACTTCAAACAATTCCGAACGTCCTCCTCGCAAAGAAAACGATCCACTAACCGCTCAACGTCCGAAGAAAATCGTCGATTGTCTGGTTGATACCGGTGAAAACACGATACACATATTCGTCGACGTCGAGTGACCGGATCCACAGTGGCCACTTCCGGCCAGCAGTCGCATCGGAGGCAGACTCGTGGTGTTCTTCTCCGTGGACTACGTGCCACCACGCTGTTCGCGTAGCAGCCGCGTGCCTCGTCCCACCACCTCGTTTCTCGATCATTGCCGTCCGTCGAAGCTATCGTCGCGTCTCAACCGAGCCTCCTAGAGGCCGATTACGTAACAACGGAAAGGAAAGAGCGGATGATACAGCGTCGACGATCTTTCTCTGCGCTTAAGTAAGGTCATCCTATCGACCTGCGCTCCCTCTTTCTTTTCTTTTTTTTTCTTACTAAGATAGAACGGCCGTGGAACCCACCGTGAACCATCTACCGGTTGGGGACAAACTTTGATCAAGGTCTCGACGTTAGAAGAGCTGGATCACGGAGATTTAGAGATTCTCCTGGAGATACTGATGAATGGTTAAAACGTGACGTTTTCTTTCCAAGATTTGGTAAGTAGAATGTGTCTATGAGAAGACAATAGGTGGCACAGGGTCGAACGGACCATTTCCCTTCCTTGCGGGATTAGCTAGAGCGATTAGCTTGGCTGTTTGACATTTTAATGCTGAAACTTGTTTTATGCGATTTCATCAATCGTCTCTGCTTCTTGTTGCGTGGGGTTAATAGTTTTTGCAGCTGAACGAGTCGTGTGTGACATGCTGTGGTAAAAAGAGGCTAACACATAGAACGACGCGTGGGCTTTCCATCCAGAACCGTTGTAGGACGAGACTCGATCGTGAAATGTTTCGGAATATCATAGGTCGACGTATAATCTTCCTGTATTTAACCATGGTTTCCGCAGCCAGAATGAAAGAAAGCCACTCGAAAATGATTTGCTATTTGACAGGTTAAAACGCAGAAAAATCGATTTCACACTTTGACTGTTCTGTTACATGGGCAAAGGTATGCCGTTTGAAATGAAACTAAAGCCAATTTCCTGGAATAATTTATTATTGACGTGACAGTTTGAATCGTGTGTAAAGAACGAAGAAGAATTTTCTCTTTGAATTTCTAGCTTCTATTCTTTCAAATTTTCGCGTGAAAAGGAACATGTATTTTTATTGCCGATGCTCCTTAAAATGTGACTTTGGCGGTGATTTTTGTGAAAATGTAGGAACTTCGATAGGAAACAGGGTTTTGTGCCAAGTCGACCGTATCCAGCTGCCATTCTCGCTATTCACGAGCCGCGCCATAAGCTCCACCGACGTCAGATTCAAAATATAGGATTTGCAAAAGCTGATTCCCTTCGAACACGCAACATCTTTGGAAAACTCTGGAAAAACACCTACTTACTCTAGGCAGAAAAGTGACTTTTCTTGTTATATGTATATAAATATATAGAACTTGGATGGAAAACGAAGATAATCTAAAATTTCCTAACAATGTTTGTTTCTACGGAAAATGTCCACCGAGGATTTAAGGGAAATATAGAGTCTTGAAGCTATGGAACACGCGCTATATTTCTTCTACGGGTAAAAAAGTGTTATACATTAAGAAGATTAGGGAACGAAAGCTTTTACTGGTCTAGGGATATTTTGCTTCCTTTTAGAGCTTTCAGATGCTCCAAGTATTTCGTATAAGTACAAGGATAGTATAGAATAATTATTAATGTTTTTAACAAACGTAATATACTGGGCAAAAATGTTAATGATTCCATAAAGGCGATTAATTATATTTTCTAAAAATACAGTGCGTGTAGGAAGCATGTGTAGGTGTGGCATATCTATTCAATGAATTTAAGTTCTTATTTACGTTATACAAACATGGGAAACGAGCTAATTACAAAATACAAACCACTGCAATCTTCAGTATATCGCATATTCTTATGGCTCCTTCTAACTCGTCTGGTATGTATCTTATAGTTATATTTAATCGGATTAAATTATATTTACATTCGTAACTATACTTGATATATGATATCGTTTATAATTATATTTTAAGCTTAATTAAATCGGGTTATGTCTTATACTATTTCATTTACGACTATAGTTTTTGCAATATTTCTAAATAAAAATATGCGTTATATTAACCGGAAAAGACAAAAGGAAATTTTAACACACAATGGCAACCAGCACATCAGCTTATTTGCCTTATTTTCTTAAATATCCACATCGATGGTTACGTTCTAATTATCCAAACGGTGCTAACTACGATTCCCACGAAGTGAATAACGAGAACTTTAGGTGAAACGTTGCTCGAAAGCTTTTAGCTACAAAGGAACCGTAAATCTGCTTCACGATTTACCGCCAGTACTTTGAAGTAGTCGTATCACTACACTGTCAGACGTTGTCTTCGTTGAAGATCCGTAGGAAATTAAAGCCACGTCCAAGAAACGAATCGCGTGGCGCGATCGTAAATCGTGGAAAAGGTTCGTCGTCGGTGAAAAAAAAAAAGGAGAAGAATTTACAACTTCGACCCTGCTGGCCACGTGCCATTGCACCAAAGCAACGTCCATCTACCAACTTACTGGACCATGACGCGTTTATTCCAACGGTCTATGCAACTTTATCGGCCATTGTTATTCCTGCAGCTTGTGGGTTATTCTCGAAAAACAATAGGAATTGTTTTAGTTTGTATCAACATCCGCGCAACCTTTGCAATTTATTTTATGTATTTCACTCAGTTACTCTTGTTCGTTTGCATTGTTCGTTGGCCATTAATAGCTATTGTTTGCTAAATTGGTCGGGCAATCAGTGGAAGCATAGAAAAATTAACTCTTGGAAAAAAGATATAAATTGATGGAATTCACGTGTATCTTTTTATTATAAAATTACCTGTATATACTTGCATATATAACTATTGTATAACTAAGTAACCAAATATAATTATTACTTGCGTACGTTACGATACTTTTTCTAATCTGTCGTTAGTAATTTTTTACTTCACGCTTTACTGATCGTTAATCGACAGAGCAAACAGGAGAAACACGATACTTAATAAGATCTTTGTCTGGAACGCGTGTTCTCTTAACAATTTACGCAATCGGATCGTTTTTAATTAAAATGAAAAAGATAATTTATGAAAGGCTGAATTATAAAATTAATGTTTGGTGTGATTTCAGAGCGCGATACACGGTGCACGGTTTGAATGAGAGTTCATTTGCATAAGGAAGGAAGGAAATTGCGGTGGAATTCGCACGAGTGTCACGCAAGATGCAAATTCGCGAAATTTCACGTATTCCGCTCGATCTCGCAGCGTATCTTGATCGGCCACGAGTTCGAGTTTACGGTGGCTCGTAAATTTTACTGAATTATCCGGCAGCGTCGTATTATTCACTTAGACGAACGTGTGGCTAGCCGTGAAGGGTGTTTAAATTTCTTTTAGGCCATTTTATCGCGGCCAACGAGCCAACCAACCGATTTATCGACGCTTTTATGCGTTTTATGGCTTCATATACACGGCAACGTTTTAATAAATCCCTCGTAATTTTTATTGCTTTTAATATTGCGTATCGGCATCTAGTGGTTGGTTTCTTCTTATTTGCGCGAGCATATTAGTTGGCAGATATTGTAGCAAGTAGCGCGTATTTGTATCACTTTATTTCCCTTAAATACCTGATCTTTGAAATATAATAACAAGTTTTAGTCATATATCGAGGAACTTCGTATTGAATAAAGAAAATCAAAAATTTATGAAAAATGAGTTAATGTATTCATCGTAATTAAACAGTAACACAATTTCTAGTAAATGAAATTAATATAATTAGGATAATAATAAAGAGTATATCGAGGAACTTCGTATTGTATAAAGAAAATAAAAAATTTATGAAAAATGAGTTAATGTATTCATTATAATTAAACAGTAACACAATATTCTAGCAAATGTAATTAATATAATTAGGGTAATAATAAAGAGTATATCGAGGAACTTCGTATTGTATAAAGAAAATCAAAAATGAGTTAATGTATTCATTATAATTAAACAATAACACAATAATCTAGCAAATGTAATTAATATAATTAGAGTAATAATAAAGAGTAATAATGCAGTAGTAACTAAAGCCACGCAAAGATACGTCTTTTCCGCGTTACTCGTCGCGTTAACCAGCAATCGTAATATAAACAGCGTTCTTGCATATAAAATTCTCAAGATTTCATTCGAAATCACGTTTTAGAAGGTTGCTACGATATCGAAACATTACATCAACACGCGAAGAAGCCACGTACAAATACTGCTTTGTCATGCAAAATTCTTCTGACATAATTTGAAATCGCGTTTAAAAAAGTCTGCCGCAATATATGGAACTATGGACGGTGTTGCATAGCAAACAGTAACCTGATATTAACCAGGAGAAAAATATTGTTACGTACGTAACAAAAATGACTGACAGAAAATGCATTATCCAATTAACTTCTCCTCTGTCCTGCAACGTTACGCTTCAAACTTCAAACCCTTGGTCGCTATTACAGAAATTCATGATACGATAACAGGGAATTTGATCGCACGAGTCTAACCTATCGATTGGTCTCGATCAAACGGAACGACAAGCTGCATGTGACAACTCGTGAACACAAGGAAAAGAGATGGTGATAGATAGAAACGATGCATCCAATGTGGCTGGAAAAGGATTTACCTCGCGTATGAATGAACAGGTCGGTGAAAAGCTCCCTTTAACGCGGTCCAGCGAGCTGGAAGCATCACGAGAGCCAATGCAGGGTCGACCAAGCGCACCTTTTAGCTGACAGAAAGAGAGAAGAATACTTACAGTGGAATGGTACGATGATTAAATAGATATACCGGCGAAAGTATCGGATGGCGATGTTAGAAATAAGAAGATAGAAATAATAGAGACATAGCAGAACGATGAGAGCTTGCATGGAAGAAAAGACTACGATATATTAGGTTGCCCTGAAAGTTTCTTTCGTTTCATAAATGAAATAACACGTTCGTCGCCACGTCACCCTTATCTATGTGACGGGTATACTTTCGTGAGGACCCCGTCACCAAAGTATGGATGACACTCTTCTTGTTCGAGTTAATTAAATATGGGATATTATATATAGGATATACAACATAAAAATATTAAAAACACATTATACCATACTTTTTATTAATTTATATTCCGCGTAAAATATTACATTATGCTATATCGCATGGTATTTGTTAAAACATTCCAAACACATT